CACTCCTGGTGTTCACAGTGCACTCCCAGTATTCCCACTGCACTCCTAGTTTTCACAGGATGCCCAGAGCACTCCTGGTGTTCACAGGGTGCCCAGATCACTCCTGGTGTTCACAGAGTACCCAGAGCACTCCTCGTGTTCACGGGGTGCCCAGAGCACTCCTCGTGTTCACATTGCACACCCAGTGTTCAGAGGATACCCAGTGTTCCCAGTGCAAACCAGGGTACACAGGATACCCAGTGTTTCCAGATCACACCCAGTGTTCACAGGATACCCAGTGTTTCCAGTGCACACCCAATATTCAGAGGTTATCCAGTATTGCCAGTGCAAACCCAATATTCAGAGGATATCCAGTGTTCCCAGTGCACACCCTTGAAGTGGTATTCCAGCCATACTCACTGGGACTTGGAGGAGCAGAAGACACTGTAGCAGTGGTGCTGCATGTTGTTGAGTCTGGGAATGAATAAAAGAGGTTGGTTCGGCACCAGCTCCAGACACCAGGGGGCGGAATTGACATTGGCATCCTTTCTGTCCCCTTTAACCAATGTGCAAACAACGTATCTTTTATTCCTCATTTATATAGAGGCTGGGGACCCTTAATAAAATTATATACTTTCTCACCTGGACATCCATTGCAACATGCATCACAGTCTGAAAAAGAAACAGAGTTTGATGAGGCACTGCAAACCCATCCTGGCTAACTCAGCCCCTGCTCACCCTTTAACCAGCATGCAGTCATGTTGAGTGAGTCCTGTTGTTCAGTACAGTGTCAATACGAGTGTGAACAGTGAGTCCTGTTGTTCAGTACAGTGTCAATACGAGTGTGAACAGTGAGTCCTGTTGTTCAGTACAGTGTTAATACGAGTGTGAACAGCGAGTCCTGTTGTTCAGTACTGTGTCATTATGAGTGTGAACAGTGTCAATACGAGTGTGAACAGTGAGTCCTGTTGTTCAGTACAGTGTCAGTACGAGTGTGAACAGCGAGTCCTGTTGTTCAGTGCTCTGTCAATACGAGTGTGAACAGCGAGTCCTGTTGTTCAGTACAGTGTCAATACAAGTGTGAACAGCGAGTCCTGTTGTTCCGTACTGTGTCATTACGAGCATGCAGACAACATATATTTATATTTAATTTATATAGAGGCTGGAGATCCTTAATGTAGTTATATACTTTCTCACCTGAACAATCAGTGCTGCTTTTATTAAAGTCTGAAAAAGAAACAAAGTTTGATGAGACACTGCAAAACCAGCATGGCTACCTCAGCCCCTGCTCACTCTTTAACCAGTGTGTAGCAAAATGGAAATGAGCGAAAGAAGGGAAAGAGAAGAAGCAGGGGAATGGAAAGATGGATCATTACTGTCCGCTGTGTCCCTGATCCAGTTGGTCCAGGGGTCTGTGTCTCTGGTCCAGTTA